CTGTATGCGCTCATTCTCCTAACGGGGAATTACCTCAACACTGGTTATGGGCCCAGGCCATACTAGGCTCAGATAACTGAGAGTTAGTGTGAATACACAGTACTGTATACAGACAGCTGTTTACTGTTTAATTGTGGGTTACTATCCTGATAAAGATGGCACAAGTCACTTCAACATGTCTATCACTGATAACCCGGTTGGATGGAACAAACTATGTTTCCTGGTCTATGAAGTGCAGTCTACTTCTGCGTAGAGAAGGTTTATGGAATGTAGTTCAAGACCCACCAGATGTAAATGCTTGGGATCCAGAAAATGAGGATGATGCCAAGAAGCTTGCTGACTTTAAACAGAACAACGAACGAGCTCTTTGTATAATTGGACTAACACTGAGTGACCAGCAGCTAGTCCATATTCGTGGAGAAGAGTCTGCTGCTAAGTGTTGGGAGAATTTGAAGAGGATTTATGTTCGTGACAGTGTAGGTGCACACATACATCTTACACGTAAACTATTTAGAGCACATCTTCTAAAAGGTGGAGATATGTTAGCTCATTTAAACTTCATGAAAAGAACTTTTCAAGAACTACATGAAAAAGAACTGATATTTTCAGAGCTGCATCAAATTTACATCATTCTTTCCTCATTGGATGAAAGTTATGATGATTATGTATCTTCACTGGAAGTCCTGCCCAGGGATAAACTGACATTGACTGACATAACTGGAAGATTGTTAGAAGAAGCAAGAAGACGACTGGATAGGGACCAACTGAGGAAGGAACAACCACAAGAAGAGGATTTATCTTCAACTGCCTATACTATTAGGAAATGTTTTTCTTGTGGGGCTAGAGGACATATAGCTAAATTCTGTAAGAAGGGAAAACAACAGAATACTAGTAAACACCAGAAGGCTAAGAAGAATGTTTGTTTGGCTATGTCTAGCAATTCACCTGTAAACCATGATTTGTGGGTTGTTGATAGTGGAGCATCACAATGAATTACTAAGGGTAGAAACAGGTTTGTAAAGATGCCTGCAAGTAAACAACATGTATCATTGGCAAATGGATGGAAGATTAAAGCATCAGGTGAAGGTACTGCATATTGTTCTTGTATAAACGAACATTTAACTATGCTATATGTACCTAAACTGAAATTTAATTTATTATCAGTAAGGGCTTTAGTTAATCTTGATTATGTAGTAACCTTTAGGGGAGATAACTGTATAATAGAGAAAGAGGGTAAAAGTGTTACTGCTAAATTAGAGAATGATTTATATGTAATACATGATGATCAGTTGAAGATGGCTAACTCAGTTTATAACAATGTTAAGCCACATGATGAATGTATACATTTACTACATAGACGTCTAGGGCACATTAATTTCAAAATGCTCAAACAAACTGTTGAATTGTCAGAGGGAGTAAAATTGAAACCTTGTAGCAAGTATTTACACTGTAATGCTTGTAGTCAAGAAAAGAGTAAGGTTACTCCAGCAAACAGACTTAATGGGTTTAAGACCAAAGAACCTTTAGAGGTTGTTTTTGCTGACATAATTGGTCCTAAGAAACCAAGTTTAGGAGGTGCCTGTTATATTTTGAGTATTATGGACCATTACTCACGATATGGTTTCTGCTATCTTATGAAAAACAAAACAGAAACATTCCAACATTTCTTTAATTGGCTAAGGTTTGCTGAGAGAAAAATGAAAAGTAAAGTAATTACTTAGTAACTGATAATGGGACTGAATTTGTTAACAAAAGATTCCAAACTATGCTGAAATTGGCTGGTGTTGAGCATAAACGTTCTGCACCTTACAGACCACAACATAACTCATTTATAGAACGAAGAGGGCAAACATTACAAGCCATGGCTCGCATTATGTTATCTGATTCAGGTTCACCTGAAACACTGTGGGGTGAAGCCATAATGTGTAGTAACCATGTTTTAAACAATGTAGTTAATACAACAACTGGTGAATTGCCATTCACTTGTTGGCTTGGCAGAAAACCAAATTTAAGTTACCTACACACATTCGGAGCTCCAGCATGGGTGCATATTCCCTCACAAGTAAGACTGAAAGGGCAACATAGACCTAAGAAGTTATTTTTTGTGGGTTATGAGGCCAACCATAGAGCATTTAGATTTTGGGATCAAGACACATCTCATGTTTATTGTAGTGCTAGTGCAAAATTTCTTGAGCACGTTGGGTGGGATAAACTGGAACAGGAATCCAGCAATGATACTATTATTGACACCCAAATAGTCCCTAAAGATGATATCAGTAAACAACAAATAGCCATTAAAGAGAAAAAACGGGAAGAAGTAGAAGAACAGGAGCAGGTGGCACAGGAAAGTCCACCAGTAAGCCCTGTATTACCAAGACGTTCAACCCAAGTAACACGACCACCTGATAGATATCAGGCTAGTGTTGTATGCCAAGTGAATACAGTTCCAAGTAATTATAGTGAACTAAAACTGTATCCTGCTAAGGATCAGGCTGCTTGGCAGAAAGCAATAGATAAGGAACTAGAATCATTAAAAAGACTGGAGGTATACGAAAATGTTAAATTACCACCAGGTAAACATGCCATAGGATGTAAATGGATATATAAATTGAAGACAGGTGTAGATGGGACTGTTACCCATAAAGCCAGGTTAGTAGCACAAGGGTTTAATCAGACAGCAAATGACTATGATGAGGTGTTTGCACCTAGTCTGAAGACTACTACATTAAGGGCAGCATTAGTGTGGGCAGCTAAAGAGAAATATATTGTAAACCATTTGGATGTAGAGACAGCATATCTGCATGCACCGTTGCAACACACTATATATTTAAAGAAACCTTTAGGTCTCAAAAATGATAATACTGATAAAACAACTGATTACTGGAAATTGAAAAAGAGTCTTTATGGTTTAAAGCAATCAGGATATGAGTGGAACCAATGTATAGTCAAAGAATTAACTAAAATAGGCTTTGTAGCTGGCATGGCTGATCCATGTTTGTTTAAAAAGGAAAGTAATGGTATAATGTCATTATTGTTATTATTTACTGATGACATAGCATTAATCACCAAAACTGAACAAGAAGCTACTGAGATAATTTCACTATTGGAAAAGAAATTTAAGATAAAATAGTTAGGAGAAATCAAACATTATCTTGGTTTAAAGATAGATAGAACTAGGGGAGGATACAAAATCTCACAAGCAGAGAAAATTAACCAATTACTAAAAAGTTTTAAAATGGAACTTTGTAAGCTGGCTAAGACACCAATGAGCCAGGAGTTTAGCCACAGTGATGTTCAAAGTCCTGTTTTTGATAAGAACATTTATCGGTCTTTGATTGGTAGTTTATCTTATCTCAGTAATTGGTCAAGGCCAGATATTGCATACACTGTTAATCAATTAGCAAGATTTAATGCTGAGCCAACTGAAAGGCAATGGCAAGCTGCTAAATGTGTGTTAAGATACCTGAAACAAACAATGCATTATGCATTGTATTTGGAGCCAAAAGATGAACTGAATTTAACTGCATATGCTGATGCAAGTTTTGCTACAGACATAAATACACAAAAATCTACATCGGGTACTGCTGTATTATTGGGAAAAGCATTGATTGGATGGAGATCTATTAGATAGAAACATCTAAGTTTGTCAACAATGGAGGCTGAATTCTCATGTTTGTCTTTATTATGTACAGATTTAGTTTTGTATAAGCAATTATTAATTGATATGGGAATTAATGTAACAGATTCTATTGTTATTTACAAAGACAACCAATCAGCAATACAGATGGCTTCAAATATTGCTGTTAAAAGAAGAACGAAACACACAGATTTAAGATACTTAAATGTGAGACAATGTGTGCAAAGTAAAATGATTAAGCTAGAATACTGTATGTCAGAAAACAATATAGCAGATCATTTTACAAAGGCCCAAGGCTCTATAAAGCATAAGGCTAGCTGTGAAGATTATGGACTTAGAATGTAAGGTTGTATATATTGTCTTACCCAAAAGGGGAGAACGTTAGGAATATAAGTCACCTAACAGGTATTTGGGTTAGAAATATATAAACCAGGATAAACATTTGAGTACTATATCTTTAAGGGAATGCAAGAGCATGCAATTGGGTGTGGTTTCTCAAACAGCCATAAGATGGAGCCAGAAACCTGGATTGTTTGGTCTGAGTGTCAGAAGAGAGTGCAAGTGTATCTCTGTTTCCTTCTGTTGGAAAATATTGCTGTTGCTCCATTTCTTCTAATTGACTGATATTACTGGATTTAATGTAAGTCTGATACTGAACTGTTTTTGACACTGGAATTTGATATTTCGATTATCCCTGGATTGAAAAACTGACCGATTTACCCGTGAATGACTTTTGGATTGCTTATTTTGGACTTTGCTTAAACCTTTCTAGAAGTAAAAACCTATATTTACTGTACAGTGTATCTGTGTACTGTGTGTGTATTATTCAAACACTTCTTTCAAATACGTCTCCCTGTATGCGCTCATTCTCCTAACGGGGAATTACCTCAACACTTCTGGTGAGGAAGAAAAGCGTGGTGGTGAGGAGGCTTGGCAGATGCCACAGGGGCAGCAAACACTTTGCGGCTCCTGAGGGGGGCACAGGAGATCATGCCCTCCCTCGCAGGCCAGGAACACCTGGGAAGGACTCCAATGTTGTGCTCTCCTGCATGCTAGTCTCCCTCCCTGCATGCATCAGTCCACCCACCAGTGGTATCACTCATTGCCGACATGGGTGCAATCGGGTGGGTGTGGGCAGGGCCAACCAGGGGCAATTGTTAGTTTGGTGAACCCAACCCAATTGTCCCTACCATCTCGTGTGAGGTAGTTTGAGGTGGTTAAATTTCACCCCTGCCTCTTATTAGGAATGAAATATGAAGATTTTTAAATGCTAAATATCTTAAACTTTGAAAATGCTTCAAGTCCACATTTCAAATGGGGGGGAAATTCCATAATTGTAGAAGTGTCCTTTTGAATACTATACCTTCTTAATCTCAGACTTCAAATTACATGGATTACTCTGCTGACTGAATAAAGATTTCTTGAATCTCTCGACAATTCTTCTTTTCAAATTGCAATGCAGAGTTGGTGGCAGCTGTTTGAAAATGCAGAAAACTTTTGTCATATAACTTTATACTCATATGTTAATGAAAAACACATAATTAATCATTCTTAATTAGTAAAGCATCAAGAAAAACAGCAAGTAACTTTTATTGTTGGAAAATATATTTTATACTATTTATTGTGCATTTACCTCCATATAACTTCTAATTTGTTAAGTACAGTGGACTGTTCAAAGCATTTCATATTCATAAGGTCACTAATCCTGTGAACTATTGCAAGTTATATATATTAGTATCACTACCCATATTTCACCGTGGTGGGTTGAGCAGTAACTTTTTCATGGTTGCTTAATAGAGCCATAGTAAAACTGTGGACTTTCAGACAACTATAAAATTTACAAAGTACAAAAGTACTTTCAAATGCAAAGTATCCAATGTAAAAAATGATACAAGAAATTATAACTCTCTGATAACTTTGAATGAACCATTTGTAATAATGCTAAATAAAAGTGACAAGCCAACAAAAATAGAACAAATAATACGGTCTTGCACATTTTGCTGAAAGACATTGTTTTCCTTTGTTCATAAAATTTTTCCCTTTTTAGACCTCTGTATCCTCATTAATTATCTTTCTAATCAACAGCAAATCAATTTAACCATTTCAGAATCAATTCCAACTGAAATGGGTACTTGTATTAGTTTACTAAAACATTATTTCTGACCAGTGGTGGGATTCAAATTTTTTTTATTACCGGTTAGGTGGGCTTGGCTTATTTGGTGGGCATGGCTTGGTGGTCATGTGACTGGGTGGGTGTGCTTGTTGGTCATGTGACTGCATGGGCATGCTTGGTGGACATTTGACTGCGTGGGCGTGTCTTGGTGGTCATGTGATTGGGTGGGTGTGGCCAACTTGACCTCACTCATGTCAAGGGGTGCCTTGCCTGGCCTCTCCTCACCTCAAAGAGATACAATTTCCCTCTCTATTTATGTTGTGGTTAGCCGGCAGCAAGACTAGATGGCTGAGAAGAGCAAGGACTCTGATGAAGGGCCAGGACCATCAGGGAATGGACTGAGATTGTGGGGGCTGGCAGCAGTGATGAGGGGGTTCCCGAGGAGCCTGTGCCAAGTGCACGTGCATGAAAGATTGCTTGGAGAAAAGAACAATTACAGCAGCACAGGCAACTCAGGAGTAAGGCTGCAAGGTAATGGCCCCTCCCTCAAGAGGATAAAAGCCAGGTTTGGAAAAGCATTCTTTGCAGACAGCAAAGAAGCTCTGAAACTCAACTGGTAGACATCTTAGTTTGTGTTTGGATAATTTTATAAATTAGTTCTTATCTCTGGCTTTTTGGCAGCCTTGACAAACAACTTGGCAAGGCTCTTTCTTGTCGCAGCTAATTAGTGGAATGCAGCCTTCAGAACAGAATTCGTTATTAAACCTTAAAAGATGGGGGCTGCTGTATTTGTCTGTGTTTGTTCTTTGGGAACCCGATTGGGTCAGAACGATTTATTTACTACTACTGAACATCCACAATACACTATTTAATCTTATGTATATATGCCATATGTGTACATACATATTACATAGTATAGTGTGTGTATAGGCACACAAAAAGATACATTATCTACTATATATATATTGTATGTGTATGTACACACACACACACACACACACACACACAGAGCTCTTCTAAAACTATACACATTCAACCTCACTGTTTGGAAAAACACACCCATAGTCCACTTTCTGCCACAATTTAACTCTAACCTGTACATTAGAACAGGGGTCACCAACCTTTTGGACCTCAGGGACCACCAAACTCATAATTTTAAATCCCGCAGACCAGAGACCCTGGGAAAATCCCAAAAATGTCTCAGGGAAATTCCCCACCCCATTTTCCTATCGATTGACCATTCTTTATTTGGGATTGCAGGATACCGTCTCCAGCTCCATTCTCAGGGGGAGAGAGAGAGAGAGAGAGAGACTTTTGGCTTCATGCAAGGAAAGCAGCAGAAGTCTTTCTTTCTCTCCCCCAAACTCTGCCAGAAATGAGTCCTTGTGAGATTTGTCACACCAGCGCAGCCTCTAGGAGCAGGATGCTTTGCAGGGTCTCAAAGGCTCATTTCTGGAGGAGTTTGGGGGAGAGAAAGAGAGACTTTTGCTGCTTTCCTTGCCTGCAGCCAAAAGCAGACGAAAGAAGTGGAAAGAAGCAGCCTGGTGGTTAGGTGAGGCGCGTGGGGCGCGTGGGGCAAGTTCCCTCCCTCCGCCCTTTCCCCCTCCCCTCACTACCTCGTGTTGTTCACAAAGCAAGTGATGCAAGCCTTGTGTTCCCACGGGCCATGTGGGTGGTGCAGCCTTGTGTTCACATGCAGCCTGGATTAATTGCTTTGGAGGATGCTTTGGGGGTGACGTTTCCCTGCGGACCATCAAAATTTTCTCGCAGACCACCAGTGGTCCCCGGCCCACTGGTTGGCAACCACTACATTAGAACATTGCACATGCCTTCAGATTTACTTCCTTAGCCTGCACATGACCATTAGACCCAGGAGATGTCATGGATTGAGTAAAATGTGGTGAAATTCACTTAACAACACTCTTGCTTAGCAACCAAAATTTTGGGCTCAATTGTGGTTATAAGTGAAAGATTATCTCTGCCTTCCTCTGCATGGCAGCCTTGTCCTAGTAAACTCCTCTGCCAATTTTCCTGTTAGAGGCACCAAAATAATCCAGATTTGAGGTGATATAAGGTCTCCTTCTGGAGCAGAGGGTTGGATTAGATGGCCTCCAAGGTTCCCTCTAACTCTGCTCTTCTATTATTCTGTGAGGATCTCCTGCTGGAGCAGGGGGTTGGAATAGAACAGGAATCTTCAAACTTGACAGCTTTATGGACTTCAACTCCCAGAATTCTTCCTCCAGTCATGTTAGCTCAGGAATTCTGTGAGTTCTTGACAAGTCTTAAATTTGCCAAGTTTGAAGACCCTTGGATTGGAAGGTTACCTCTGAAATCCTTTCCAGCCCTAGATTGCTGTGCTGTTTCAAAGAGTCTTCGGAAGCCAGGGTTTGTGTCCTTCCTTCCTGTTCTTTTTTTTTCTCTCTCCCTCCCTCCCTCTTTCTTTCATTCTTTCTCTTCCTTACATCCCATTTTTCTTTGTCTATCCCTTTTCTTCCATTCTCTTTTTCTTTCTTTCCCTTTTCTCTTTTTCTTTCTTCTTTCTCCCTCTTTCCCTCTTTTTCTCTCTCCCTCTCTTTCTGTTTCCCTCTCTCTGTTTCCCTCTTTCCCTCTCTCTCTACCTCTGTCTTCCCCCCCTTTTTCCCTTTCCCTCTCACTCTTCCCCCCTCTGTCTCTCTTTTCTTCTCTCTTCCTCTTTCTCTTTCCCTCTCTAACTCTTTCCCTCTCTTTCTCTCTCATTCTATCCCTTCCCTTTCTCCTTCCCTCTCTTTCTAAAGCTGAGACCCACCTGAAACAAGCACACACACACACACACGCACACAAACGCTTCCAAGCACCTGCCTGAAACAAACACACACACACACACTTCCAAGTGCCCACCTGAAACATACACACACACACACACGCTTCCAAGCGCCCAGCAGGGTCACTCGTTATGAGGGTTCTTCCCGGCCAGTCTCCGGTCCCGCGTTGCCCAGAAAAGCCAGCAGGAAAGGCTTCTGGGTCCATCAAAAGGGCTGCAGGTGGGACTTCCTCCCCTTCTGCTTTTGGGGAAAGGAGAGGGCTGGGAAATTCAAGCAAGGCATGTGCTGCAGCCTCGCCCCTTCCCCCCACCTTCAGCTCTAGGCTAGTCAGCATGGGTTTGGCTTTTCCGACTGCTGGCTCTTCCTCCAGCAGCTGGTGGCAGAGGGAAAGGCAAGTCAGCCCGGCTCCCTGCCAGCCCACATCTCATCCCCTGCCCAGATTCTCTGGCAGCTGTTGGGGCTCGCCTGCCAGGAGGCGCGCGCGGGGGGGGGGCACCAGGAAGCATGAGGCTATGCCTGCATCGCCCTTCTGCCAGCTGCCTCTCCCTCATCAGGCTGAGAGTTTTGGCAGTTGTTGGGGGGGCGGGAAGGAGCTTCATTTGTTCAACTTCTACCTATCCCACCATTAAGCATCACACAAAAAGGAGGAGGTCCCTCTTCACCATCTGGAGGACAACGACCAATACAGACAATGCTACAACAGAAGAAAGAGAAGGAAGTGACACTGCAGATGATTATGCAAGTAATTCAGAAGATTGAAAAGAGAATAGAGAATATTGAGAAAAGAACTGAAAAGACAGATGAGAAAGTAGAGAACATTCAACAGATTTTAAAAAATCAAAGAAGATATACAAAGGGATAAGAAAATTGGAGATATTGATACTCGATTGAGCGATGTTGAAAAGGGCAGGAGTGGACCATTAGGATAGGAAATCAATAGATCAGAATTCTACCTGAGATTTCAAAATGTAGAAGAAGGAAAAGGTGAAAACCTTGCTGAAATAATGACAGAAATACTGGCAGAAGCGCTAGAGATAACCAAAGAGAAGATGATGGATGGGATGGATGAAGTGTTCCATGTCTATACAAGATATGCAATGAGAAATAGGTTACCAAGAGAAGTTCACATCAGATTTACCAAGAAGATCATTAAAACACAGATACTGCAGATGGCAAGAGAGAAAACATTAAAGTATAAAGACAAAGAAATTGTGGTGCTGAAACAGGTATCAAGAAGAGTACGAGAGATGAAAAGAGAATATTTATTTTTGACTAAAGGGTTACTTAAAGGATGAGTAAATTACAGATGGCTGATGCAAGAAGGCCTCTTGTTCACCTGGCAGGAACAAAGACACAGAACTGACACAGTTGAAAAAGCTGAGCTATTCTACTTAGAATATCTTAAGAGGAAAGGAGGAAGAAGCAAGAAAAGAAGAGTCGTTAATTGAATTTCAAGAGGAGTGTATAGCAGTAATTAAAAAAGAGAAAGAAGAAGGTGCAGTAGGTGGTGCACCCAGAGAGCAACGAGAACTAAGATCTACTAGAGCAATAAAACCCTCT